ATGGAACTTTGTATTTCTAATAATGGAGACTACTTTGAACATTTATTAAATAAAATTTAAAAATATAATTGCTTCTTTAGTTTTTTATTTAATGTTGCCATTACTTTTGGAACGCCCTTAGTATATTTTTTTTAAAAAAACGGTGAAAAACGCGTTCATTTTATAGAAAAAACTGGAAAAAACCTGATTTTTTTAAAAACGATTAGGAACGCGCAAAAAACACTGGCGGTTTCTTCTGTTTTCTTTAATATTAGAGGAAAAATCCACTTGAACACTGCTAGAAAAAAACGCGTTGATCTTCGTTTGACTTTTAGTTGTGTTTAGTTTGCCACACATTTTTGTTTAACGCTGTGGATGCGATTTCGATTTAATGATGTGGTTTCGGCACGTTTAAGAAAAAACGTTTTGGAACGCGAAATAAAACATGGCGTTTCGTCGCATTCGTGAAAAGAACCGAGAAAAAACGAGCTCTTTTAAAATTGCGTTGAAATTTAAAAATAAAAACTGGCGTTTTAGTCCGTTTTTTTTACAAATGCGACGAAACGCCATAGCCGTTTTTCTAGTTTCCACACATCTAAAAAGAAAACATGTTCGTGAAAAAATTGAGAAAAATCGAGTTCTTTTAGAAATGCGTTGAAATCCAAAAATAAAAACTGGCGTTTTAGTCCGTTATAGCAAATGAACGCGACGAAACGCGATGTTGAGTTTCGCGTTCCAAAACGTTTTCTTTTTAGATGTGTGGAAACTAGAAAAACAGCTATGGCGTTTCGTCGCATTTGTAAAAAAAACGGACTAAAACGCCAGTTTTTATTTTTGAATTTCAACGCAATTTTAAAAGAACTCGTTTTTTCTCGGTTCTTTTCACGAATGCGACGAAACGCCATGTTTTATTTCGCGTTCCAAAACGTTTTTTCTTAAACGTGCCGAAACTAGAAAATGAGATATGGCGTCTTTTTTCGTTTTCCCTTGAAACGCGTAGAAAAGCGTTCTCTGGTCGGATGGTTTCAGTGCGATGAGAAAACAAACGGAAACAAGGTGTTTTTCTAGTTTCTCGTTTCAACACGTCCATAAAAGATCATAAACGAGACGTTATAACGACAATAGCAACAACAATGAATTCTACTTCACAATTAAATACTACAACAACCATTGACATCCATGAAGCCACATCTTTTTGTGTATCTCGTAAAGAACAATGCAGATCTGCTACTTCTACAGTTGTAATAGGTCTGTGCGAGGAAGATGTTGCATCACCTGCTACGACCCTCTTAGCTATACAAAAGTAATCAGAACAGTAACCAACATCATGAATCTTTTTCGTATTATTGTGCAAATTCTGAACAGCCAATATAATAAATAAAATACAGTTATTGTAATTCCTTTCATATCATATTAGTTCAGCCTAGAGGTAATAAATTCTGAATGTATCAGAACATTAGTAAATCACAGTCATCCGTTTACTTGATTCTTCGAAATAAAAAAACGAATGCATTAGTCTCACAAGGATAAATAGAAAAAGAATGCTAAAATGTTCACTGATAAATATAATAGGCACGATCGATATTCACAACTCAACCCATGACCATTCACACTCCTAGACTATAGTCGTACACGACAAGCGTAGTTGGTGATACTACCGCAAGAGGAAAATAAAAAAATACCTTGTTAAGTTTTTTCTACTGCTTCACGATGGTAAATTTATCACATATTGTAGTTTATGATCCTTTATGATGCAATACATATTGCTCCAATATATATTCTAAATGAGATAATTAAAATAACGCTGTTGTAAAAAGACATCAAAAGATAAGAGAGAAGCTCAGTATCTTCTAGGTGCAAATCCAAAATTATTCATCAGAACAGTTAGATTTTCGTTTCCTCTGCGTGATTTGATTTTTAAAACGAGAATCGTAAGGAACTTAACAAAAATGACATTTTCACCGTTTATCATGTTTATAACGTTGGTTTTTGGTAATTCCGCCCGTTGATACCTTCTCACAACAGAACGAAAAAATTTACATTTGCCCTGTATTTAACAACGACATTGAATTACCAACACAATATTAACACAAAAAAATATATAAAGAAAAAAAATAAATCGATACACGTTATTCTCTGTATACAAATATTTATTTTCACAATAAAAGCATAAAGATAAATAGTATTTCGTTCTCAGATAAGTTATATCCTTCAATTCTACCGGGCAAACAGCAAGATATGAGTAAGTCAAAAGTCGAGCATGTTTCTGTTTTTTGTCTTTTTAATCTTATAAAAAAACCACTGATTCAAGAAGGAAATACTGAATGCGGTAAGATATAAGAGTAGAATAACGTACCTCACCACCTTAAATGCTGTATACTACTCAACGAAGCTTTCATTTCAAATTCAGAAATTCCCTTCCGCTCACGTAAAGACGATGTTTACTCTTTGTATCCTCAAATCGTTATCATTCGAAAACTGTTAATAAAGCAGAAAAAACATCACATGCGTCTCGACAATACTCACCTTGTTCTAAACAAAAAACATCCATATTATCAGCACATGTCTATTGACCCCTTTTCTTTTCACTCAGAGTCAGGCAAACATGAATTATCGACTATTCCAGAACAAAGCTCAAGCAATATGTTCTCCATCGATACTTTTATTCGTGGTCAAATTGATGATGGCAATGATCGTCATATCTCTGGTTGTGGTGGGTTGCTTTACAGATTGCGTCGTGGCCTTATATACAGTTTGGGTGTTGCTGATCGTCTTCCTTGTCTTGATCGTGATGGTTATAGTCTTGCTGATACGCTTTCGTCTAACTTCTTTCCTCTTTCTGGTCATGATGGCTGGGAAGAGACATATGACTAATAATTGGTCTGCTATTAGTGGCTCCGATACAAAATAATAAACTGCTGCGATGTTTTTCGTTTCTGCTAATTCTAGTAGTTTTTTTCCAAGAACATATACTCACATTTGGACACTTTTACAACATTCGAAAACTGATCCTACTAGTGATCGTTTTAACTTCATTTATACACCATCAAAAAGCGGCTATTTAAGTGCATCTGAAAATCATTGATTCTGTTCGTCAAGAAACAGATACCGATCTTTCTCTCAGAACGGTTCAGAGATATGGAAAGAAAAGTGGATTAGAACGTTCTTTTATAGCGAGTGAGTATACACAGGTGTACTTTTCGATGTACACACTATCCCTCATCTTTTGTCTCGTTTAATTAACTTTGTTATCACATTTGAGTTTAGTGGGAGAAGGTGCGTGTGGTGATATAGCAAAGGTCCGTCGAAAGCTCCAGCGTATTTCGAACAAGAAACTGATTTTTTTGGACGAAATCCGCATTAAACTCAATGAAATACCACGAAGCACACTGGTGGCATCAGGTGAAAAACCATACCTTGTCATTATGGATTCATCGTCTTATGCCGCTCGTTTTGATATGATTGTTGCCATTGTTGGTAGCCAAGTGTGCCACCAATGATTTTCTCAACAGAAGACAGGAAGACAGGACAAGTAAAGGGAATCAATACAGAAATGTTAATTGATTTCATAAAAAATAATTTACCTCCGGTTATCAATCAACTTGATCCTATTCCCACGCATCTGTTGTTGGACAAAGCGAAAATCCACAATGTTTCAAAGATCAAACAAGCACTTGAAGACGCTGGAATGAACGACTTGATGCAAATAGTGATCATACCTTCTCAAGCATCGAAATGCATCAGTCCATTAGACAATCCTTTATTTCATGAATGGAAAGAACGAATACGAAAATATTCTTTTTTGCCTGAAGACATCTTAACAAACACTGATGAAAAATGAATGGTTTGCAACAACGGAAAAAAACATAAAACACTATTATGATCATTGTGGCATCCCACGAGAACGAGATGTTTATAAGGATTGTCCATCTCCTTCGAGTCGTCGTCATTCCTTTTGAGAAAAAACTAGAAAATATCGATTTGTCTTTTTGTTTTCGATTTTTTTCACTAGTCTAGATGTTTGCTTTACTTTTAAATAGGTCATACTCTAGACTTATAAATTGCAATTCAATACATATTTATAGTGCTCGACTTGCTCCATCTAATGGAAAAGACTGCATGAAAAAATATCGCATCGGTGTGAAATGCGAGTCAAAACAAAAAAGTGGCGCCCGACTTCTAAAGTCTACTGTAGACAATTCCACGGACTATCCGAACATACACTTATTTTTCTCAAAATGTGAATTTATAGTAACGATATAGTGAAAATACCGAGTCTAACTATTTTTGACCAGGAGGATACATAATAAGTCTAGTTTGAGTGAATTTTTCATAGAGATTTTCGCATTTTTAACTCGAGGAACATTTTCGCAGTAAAATGCACTTTTCTCAGAAACGACTAAAGCTCTAAAGTCGAAACTTTTTAAGACGGATTCTCAAAGTACACACCAAGGGCTATCAAAGTATATGCATGGTTTGTAAAATCTTATTTAGCGGGAAGCTGTCATTTGCGAATTCTTACGTTAGCTCTATGTTGTGTCGCTAGAAATGATAATATGAGCGATTTGCCCTGCCGTTGTATCGTTCATATCCGACATGTAAAAAAGCTATAACTTTTTTGTCAGTGAATGAATCTTAGCGAAATTTTAGCGAAATCAAAAGAAAAACAGGTTTTGATACTCTTCGAAAAATTCTTGTAACTTTTATCGCAGAGAGTTCAGCAACATCTCTCGTTTTGAAGACAAACATTTCCCTTACATCATTTTCAGATATAAGAATTATATTATAATTAATATTAAGAATTATAGGATATTACTGAAGTTTTAGGAAATTGTTGAAGATTTTCAACAGCGTGTACTTTTAGATGTTATAGAAAACCTTTCCAAGTTTCTGAGAAAAGTGCATTTTACTGCGAAAATGTTCCTCGAGTTAAAAATGCGAAAATCTCTATGAAAAATTCACTCAAACTACTGTGCATACCAAAATACAATGCCGGGTGCCACTTTTTGAATAACTTTCCATAGGAATGAGAAAGAGACCTGCGATTTCCGCTGTTCAATAGCCAACACTTGAGCAAAACTTTTCACAAGTGGAAGCATCTTTTGAAAGAATTTCAAAGATCGGTTTCCAGAGGATCTTTCGAAAACCAGCTCCGTTCTCAGAAAACTAACATACAAAGTTAGTAATTCTTTTGCATGCGTAGATAGTCCGGACCTTACTCTACGAAATTATGCAGGTCCCGGCTCTCTAGCTATCGTCGTGCGGGCAGGGCTCGCTTTCCCCAAGCAGGTGTCTATGTCCGAGCAGACATCTCTAGGAATCTCAAAATGCCATGGACTATAGGTAATCGACTACACTGAGCATAGTGGCAACATTTGATTTTGTGTAGAAATGAGTTTCTGAAATAGAATGACTTTTCTGAGAACGGAGCTGGTTTTCCAACGGTCTTCTGGTTTACCATAGGTATTAGATGTAAGGCAGTGAACACTTCTGAGGAGCCTGTTCGATGCGGTTTTATTTGTAGATTACAAATATGGTATTAGTTTTTATTAGAAGCGGAAACTGAGTGAAAAAAATTGAATTTTACGTTTTGCATTGATGCAAAAGACCTTCATATTTTTGAAAAACAATTTTTTTCATCCGTTAAGACAAAAACAACATGCGATTTTTATTGTCGAGATCTAAAGCTTATTCAAAGGCGCAATTTTTAAGCTCAAAACTGGAAATGGGTTATTTTTAAAACATGAGATAAATTAATTTTAAGATGACAAACACCTATTTTCCTGCAAAACGCCTGTACTCCGAAACTCTACTTTTCTTCTCCTAATGGTCCAATCAAAAAACCAACAACATCAGTCGATGCACCCTTGCTTCCTCTATTCAACTGTATGTATTTCGTTCCTGTTTGAAAGGAGCGGATACTACACGAAAAAACGGCAAGGTCCTTTACGATGCAACAATGAATACTATGAGTTTTATTGTCCCCTTTGGTGTTAATGTTATATCAGCTATTATAATTATGATCACAAGAGCTCGACAACATTCAATTGCCCCCAAACGAATAAGCTATTATCAAGCTTTGAAAATACAATTAGTATGCGGTTGTGCAAAATAAACGGTGATTAAATTTTAGTAAGAATTTCATAAGAAAGTGATAGGAGCGCGGTTATCAAAGTCATAGCTCATTCTTATTTAAGTCTTACCTGATTCTTATCGGAGTCGTATGAAATTCTTGCCATTTTCGTGCGGACTTCTTATGTAAGAATAACTTTAGAAACAGAACCAAGGTCTTTTATTTGGATTTGTACAGTACTAGATGGTCTCCCACTGTATTAACTTCTTTAAGGCCCCCCTGACAAAAAAAGGTATTTTTGTCAAAAATATCTGTTTTGAGATTTATACCTCGTTGAATAGCCCAAAGTGTCTACTTTCGAATACACTATAACTTATTGGTTTTATGATGGATTTTGAAGGTTTATGAGAGGTTTTCAGAAATGGATGGTTTTTGGTGATTTTCGGAGGGAATAACGCTTGTATATGCACATGTCTTTACATGTGTATATTCGGTTCGCCATAGTCGATAACCTTTGACAAACTACTCTTAGTTTTTTCTTATACCGCTTTATAAAGAAAAAAACGTTGTATTTTAATGTTAAAAGTTGTTTATGCGTTTTTTTCTGTTCGTGCACAGAAGATTTCTCCGCCATTTTAAACGCTAGAAAGCTTCGGGAGATTTTAAAATAAAGCTAGGCTCAATGCTACGACTTAACAGCGACAGATTTTTATTTTCAGTTTAATTTTTTGAGAAAAGTAAAGTTTTTCGAAAAGTTAGCCGCAACTTTTCCAACTTTTTAAAAGAAAACTTTCGGAAGAAATAAACAGAAACATTTCAAAAATCCAACTCGTAAGTTGTAGTTGCAAGCCTTGCGTACATTTTACCGTCAACCTGAAGTCTGTTAGAATTTGAAGAGAAATCTTTTACACACGGACACCTGCTTTTTCACCCTTAATGTAAGTATAACCCTTGGAAAACTCAATATTTCGAGCTCAAGTTATATTATCAGTTGTAAAAGGCCAAGTATATATTCTCTGAAAATTTTTGTTAAGATCGGCTGTTCTGGGACAAAAATAGGTTTTTGACAGGGGGTCTTAAGATATCTGCGCTGAAGAATTCAGGTTTCTTTTCCTTACGCTGAGACACAAGGCTGGAATTTGCTTTTAAAATAAAAATCGGGAAACTTTCACTGTATCTGTATTTCCATTCTCAGATTTGGCACAGTCTACCTTTTCTGCTTGATATAGCAACAAAGACCTTGACTTTAATGGAATGTTTAAATGACACACTTTTTCGATCGTCCCTATTTGACTACTCATTTTCTTTGCATAGTAAAAAAGAAAATCAGCGACTTCAGCTAGCAGTGTAACGAACAGTGGATACCTCGCTTTTGACAGAAATTCTTTATTCTAAAGAAAATTAACTAGACTATGTACCATGGTTGTATAACTGCTCTCATGTCGGAATGACCGAAAAAACGCCTAAATCAGGAGTAAATTGATGGTTTTAATTCAGATAGCCAGATAATTCATCAGATAATTCACAGCATGTTCACACACATATGTTTTCAAATTTGCAATCCAATATAATATTGTTTCTTTATCAAGTTAATAATGAACATCAAAAAGACCTGCATAACGTCATTGAAGCAACTGAGAGAAAGTGCAGCGGGAAGAAAGACCGAGAAAGAAATGGATGATGTTGATTTCGACATTGTGATTAGAAATGAGAAGATCGGGAAGGTGGAGAACTTCTCATGCCTTGGTTGTAACCTGTCGAGAGATCAAACGCAAGACAAGGAAATGGAAACAAGAATATC